GGCTCCAAAGCTACACAGAGAAACCCTGTCTCAAAAAACCAAAAAAAAAAAAAAATAAAGTTATGACCCAATTGGCTTTAACAGATATCTATAGAACATTCCAGCCAAACACAAAAGAATATAGCTACTTCTCAGCGCCATGTGGAACCTTCTCTAAAATCGACCACATACTTGGCAAAATAGCAAACCTCAACAGGTACAAAAAAATTGGAATAACCCCATGTGTTTTATCAGACCACCATGCTTTAAAGTTGGAATTCAACAACAACACAAATTTCAGAAGAACTACAAACACATGGAAATTGAAAAACGTGAAACTATACCAATAAAGCAATAAAAAAGAAATTAAAGACTTCGTAGAATTCAATGAAAATGAAGACACAACATACCCAAACTTATGGGACACTTTGAAATCAGTGCTAAGAGGAAAGATCATAGCACTAAGGTCCCACATAAAGAAAGTGGTGACTATTCACACTAGAGAATTGACAGCAGAACTGAAAGTTCTAGAACAAAAGAAGTAAACCCACCTGGCAAAGTAGATAACAGGAAATAATCAAATTGAGGGCTGAAATCAATAAAGTAGAAACTAGGATAACAATAGAAAGAATCAATGTAATGAGGAGTTGGTTCTTTGAGAAATGCAAATTAACAAAATCAGAAATGAAAAGAGGGAACATAACAACTGACACTGAGGAAATCCAGAGAAATATCAGATCATATTCTGAAAACCTCTACTCCACAAAATTCGAAAAACTAAAGGAAATGGACAATTTCTTGGATAGATATCATCTAGCAAAATTAAATTAAGAACAGACAAGCAATTTAAATAGACTTATAACCCCTAGTAAAATAGAAGCAGTCATCAAAAGTCTTCCAATGAAAGAAAGCCAAGGGCAAGATGGCTTCAGTGCAGAATTCTATCAGAAATTCAAAGAACTACTAATACCAATTCTCCTCAAAATGCTCCACACAATAGAAACAGATGGGTCATTGCCAAACTCATTCTTCAAGGCTTCAATAACCTTAGTACCCAAGCCACACAAAGAGACAACTAAGAAAGAGAACTACAGACCAATAACCCTCTTGAATATTGATGCAAAAATACTCAATAAAATATTGTCAAATTAAATCCAAGAACACATCAGAAAAATCATTCACTATGATCAAGTAGGCTTTATACTAGTGAGGCAGGGATGGTTTAAAATATGAAAATCCATCAATGTAATCCACCATATAAACCAACTGAAGAAGAAAAACTACATGATCATCTCACTAGATG